CCTTCTTTTCTTTTCCTTTCCTTTCCTTTTTTTCTTTTTTCTTTTTTTTTTTTTCAGGTGTGCATGAGGCACACGCCTCATGAAAAAAATGCATGAGGCGTACGCCTCTTGCATCTGAGGGGTATGCCTCAGAGGTGTCAGCGCCTCTGGCATACGCCTCAAAGCATTTTGGGAGCACCTTGCCTGGAGGCGCCTCCAGGCATACACCTCCCACGCCTTTTAAAACACTGGAACTGACCAATGTATTAGCTGGCCATCATAATGTTCTCCCTGTAGGCCTTTCAATTATTGATGCGATGTTGCGAGTCCTGGAGCCATATTCTATCATCCATGAGAAGTTTGTCCAATTCTTTGTTTTTTGTTCTGATTTTTTTTTTTACTTTGCTTGATAAAATATTATTTGGTTCTAAATTGTTATTTCCAGCATAGTTGCATGAGATTACCATTTTATTTGATACTTTCCTCTAGATACTCCATCTTAGTAGAGATAACCACATAAAAATGGGCTACTTATGAGATTGCTGAACCTTGTTCTCAGAGTCCCTATTGATGAGAATTGTTGCACGAAAGTTTGTGTAATAATTTACTTGGTATTCTGGTAGTGAGCGGCTTGACTTGAAATGGTATCAAAATTCTAGGAAGAAGCTTACCAAATAAAAATGCTTGTGCCAAATTGAGCTTTTGAAGATGGACCTTTTATTAGCAATTGAAGGCTCGATTTGTCTTCAGTTAGGTCAAACAATCCTTCCTTCTTTTTCATAGATCAGTAACCTGCTGACATGTTTGGTTTTAGCATGGAAAGATGATTGCCTGGGTTTTGTCATGAATCAAAGGATCCTTTTTCATACCTACTGTAGCTGTCCATTAGCCTTTTTATGAAATAGTTCATTATAGGGACCTTAGTAGTTTAGTAGCCAAAATTAATCAGCATTACCAAAATTTGGATTTGAATTCCTTATCTTATTTTCCCCATATTAATGCTGTTTTTACTTGAATCATTTGGCCACCTAAATCTGCATAGGACCATATAACCTGTGTCGATCTAAGATAATGGAACTAGATATATTTTTCTTTGGGTATTTGGCACAATGTGCAACATATTAATACTTCCAAGAAGATTTTTTCTTGGGTTTTGCAGAAAGTGTTTTATACATTTGAGACTGCCTGCAAATATTGCCCATAAGATGGATCTGCCCTTAAAGTATATTCCATCACTAAAATTTCATAGTCATGATCAGCAAGGCATAGCATAAAAGGATCTTTGGTAAGCAATATCACCCTAGGTGATGTGCGGATGTTGGTCTTACATGTTACGTTTGGTTCCTGAATTAAGCAACTTGGGTGGTTTGCTCCACATCTTTTGATGTATCTGACCCCATATAACTGGGACAAGACTTTGTTGAGCTGGGTTGTTTAAGGGTTATCTGTATACTAAATTCTCATGTAAAATTGGAGATACCTCATAATAACCAATGTTTTAAAACACGGAGGCGTGATGCAACGTGTTCCGCTACCTAGAGGCGTGAGGCGTAGTTCAGAACATAGGAGGCATAAGTCTCCCGAACACAAGGAGGCATAAGCCTCCTTAAGAGGAGGGGATGAAGAGGAAGGAGGAAGGGGATGAGGAAGAAGAGGAAGGAAGATCTTATTTTTCTTTATTTTTAAGAAGAGGAAGGAAGATTTTATTTTTCCACATATGAATACGTGGAAAAGCTTGAAGGAATAGTAAGATTTCGTTTTGCGAAAGGGGAGACCACCCCTTTCGCTTTAATATATATATATATATATATATATATATATAATTTTATATTAAGTAGAATGAAGAATGCATAACACTAATTGAAAGGGGTCTGGGAGGTGAAGCCCCCCAGCCAAGGGGGTCCGGGGGCAGAGCCCCCATCCCACTTTCTTTCCCCTTATCTTCACTTCCTTTCCCTTCCCTTCCCTTCCCTATTCTTTTCTTTCTTTTCCCTTTTTTTTTGTTTCTTTTTTCTTTCTCGTCCTTTCCCTTCTCTTTCTTTTCCTTTCCTTTCTTTTTTCTGTCTTTTTATGAGGTGTGCATGAGGCGTAAGCCTCTAGCACGCCTTGTAAAAAAGTTGCATGAGGCGTACACCTCAGAGGTGTCAATGCCTCAGGGTGTTTTGGGGACGCCTCGCCTGGACGTGAGGCGTTTTAGGGGCACGCCTCCCTCCCATGCCTCTTAAAACACTGATAATAACTTCATTTTTAGGTTCTTCAATGAGCTCATTCTTTTCTGTTATAATACTTTGTTATGTTAGGCTGTTGATGCTCAAGTCAATTCAACTAAACCTTGTCCTGACCATATGGGGTTGGTTATGTAAATTCTGGTTTGCCATTTCACATGCCACATATCTAGTTCCTTGCCAGCTACCAACCTGACATAACCCTCCTTTATATTTAGGCTGATGATAAGGCCATTACCTAATGCTGGTCTAAATTACCTGGGTCCTGGGAAGGGGTGGACTGGAAACATACCTAACTTCGGGAATTTTAAGGGTAATGATGCCTTAAATAAATAGCATTTAATTATAAGCTATATTCCCACATTAATGCCAGTTTTCTCAAAATTTCTAGGTGCAAAACATGCTTTTGAGCTTACTGGTCACCTCGGCACCAGTTGTGACTTGTGAGTTTATGTTTTGGGGAAGCTTTCATCTGAATGTCATCCATTTGGTTGTATCACACAGCATTAATTGGAAATATAGATTATCTGAACATATTCCATTTTCATTCTTCTGTTAGCAATGTTAGGTTTTCCCTTTTAAAATTTACCACCTTAGTTTTGACATTATGTCTCAAGTATTTGCCATTCGGAGCTAGTAGTTTGTCATATAATGAAATTCTACCTTGGGAATTGGGATTACTTGCAAAATCAAATGTTGCATTCTGTATCCAACTTATATACAATTTATGTCCTCAACACAACCTTCTTTTTTGTTTTGTTTTTTTTTTTGTTTTTTAAAAAAAATCTTTAATTGTCCTCTCATGCATGATCATCAACTCCTCACATGTTATATATAATGTATGTAATTTTGCATCAGGTCAGCAAGCAGAAATGCACGTCTGTTGCATGTCGTATTAATAGTGGACTGGTTCATGAAAGTAGAGTATCTGCTCAATATGGTAAAAGATTATGTATACTCTAAAATGGCACTATAACCATTAGTTGCATTTTGGCTGGATTTTAGTGATAATTTATGGCAATGGTCAAAGGAAACAACCTCTCTCTCTCTCTATATATATATGTGTGTAAAAATACAAGGTCTGACGTCTGAGTTTAAATAGAAGGATTTCTCAACGGTTTCTAGCTTAGCTGCCAAACATAAGGCAACCATAGTAGTCCATACTTGGCCTAAAGCCGGCAATTCTAGGCAAAAGCAGGTGGAATTAGGACCAATAGAATCTCTTTGGTCATTGAAATTTCCAAATAGACGCATCATTTAGATCTCTCTCCACCTTTCTCTAGTTCCTGAAAAATCATCATACCAACATGTGAGGATGAAAAATCATCTCGAAAGTTGAGTCTTTAGCCAATATAGTGGATTGGCTACTCAAGACATCTTCAGATTGGGCCTGTTCAAGAGGTCAGCAATTGCTATTTGACCCTTGAATATTTCTCGTAGTATATGAGGTTTGAATAATCCGAAAGCATTGTTGATTCGGTAGTATATGTGGGCTTGGAATAGGGATGGCAATTTCCCTCATAAAACCGGGGTCCTGCCCTGAATGGGGTGGGTTTTCCCCGATCCTAAACAAGGACAGGGAAAATAATTTTTCCCGAACAGGGTACAGGGCAAGAACGGGTTTTATATATAATTCCCCGAATCTGCCCCAAACCCGAAGGTTAATTAGTAAAATACCTCTAAGTTTAATATAGATATTTAAAATATCTCTAATTTTTCCCTAAATTTTTAAAATTCTAAAATCCCATAATTTTATTTTTGAATTATCCCTAAAGTATTATAATTCAATTCTGGAATACCCCCATTCGGGAAATGGGAAATGGATGCTCCACCCTGCCACCGAGGACGGGATGGATACGGGGCAAGGTATCGTGACTTCGGAGTGGGGACAGGGGAGGGGGTGCCCCGCCCCAAACCCGCCCCATTGCCATTCATAGCTTGGAAGTGCTACTATACTATCCTACAAACTTGGTTTCTCTGGCTCCATGAAGCAGCTTCAGCTTCAAGTTTATGGAGTTGATACTACCAAACCCACACAACCATTGTGGCACTTTTACAGTAAGAAATTAAGAATGGAATGGTTTGATGACATGGAAGGAAGTGAAAAAGATGGAAACTTTAACCCGGTCAGGTCAGAATAGACGTTCTGTTTGTAGCATAAAAGAAACGATTGAGATTCCTACACAAGAAAATGCTTAGTCTCTTACCCATGCCTGAAATTGGAAGATGAATTAACCAAGCCGGAGGGTATTGCCCCACCGGCCACCATTCTTGGTTCCTATTTCTTAATCTGTTAAATACTTCAGGTCCACCAGTCAAGGCAAGGCACGCTTAAGCCCTTTCTTCCCTGGTAACGCAACTTGTTGCAAAGTGAAGATGTTCTTCTGGGGACTGGGGAGTCGTGCATTTTCTTATTTTTCTCCAGACTGATCAAGTACCAGTTCATTGGCAGCATTGCAGGCTGCACCCTACCAAGTAGGACAAATCTTTTATCGACCAGTAAGTCAGTACCCAGTTAAATTAATTAAAGATGGCAGTTGGCAAAGCCAGATGTATATATAGCAAAAGCTTTAAGAACAAAGGTAAATGTTTAAAGCGTTTCAGTCAGTCCAGTTCAGGAATTATTTTAAATAAAAGAAAGCAAGTGCCACATGCTTGTCCTTGGAGTTGAATAAGGTTTAAGCAAAAGGAACTCGTTTTTTTTTTTTTTTTTTTGCATCGTCTGTGTCATGCGGATTGGGGTTGCTTTGATCTATTCTTGGCCCAGGGCAAGTGGGGTGATCAATGAAATGAAAATTGTAGAAGAAGGAAAGAATTAAATTGCCAAAAGATCTCTGATGAGAAAATCACATGGTGATGTTGTATGGTACAAGAAAAAAAAAGGTTATCTCAACTCGTATCTTCTTTCCATGTTCTTGGTGGACTAACCTAAACCTACATCATCTCAATTCTACCGTTCCTCTGATCTCTACTTGGTCGATATTGGTCTCTCTTTACATATGGTACAAAAGAGGAGCGCCAAAGCCACGTAAGATACCCCCATCCTCTTTCCTCCGAAACTGCAACCACATTAACAGAAGACGACCTATAAACCAACAGAATCCACAAAGCCTCAGCTTCATCGCCTTGGTTGTTTTTTGTATTAATCTCTCGCGTAGCGTAGCACAAACTTTAGAGTAACTATTGAGAGTGGCGAGTTTTGTACCTTTTCGCCATCACTCCCCCAGTTCAACGCCTTATATATTGGTCACAGAATTGGGATCACATCACCACGTCCTTGGCGAAGCTTTTGACCCAATGCATGGCGACTGTGCATCGTCTGCATCAGAATCGCTTCCTGACGAGCTTCCTGAATCAGAATCTGCAGCAACTCCAAATAAGATCTCTGCAACAGAATATCTAAAAACACAGGAAAGATATACAGATAAAGCAATAGATTTCACGTTCATACCACTGGATGAGGATGAACCGCTGCTTGAACTGCTGGAACTGCATGATCTGCTTGCTAAGCCGGCATCCTTCTCAATCTCCACTGGGGGGAAGTTGCTTGTGGGAATATCCTCGCCAATATCGACATCCTCATCCACGGCTTCTCCCTTCTTGACCTTCCTTGCAGAAGAAGCTGATGTTTGGGCTTCTGCTGCTGTAGCGGCTTCCGTACGCTCTGAAGCCCCAGCCTCAGGCATCTCATGGTCCTGGATGGGAGACTGCTTAAAACGAAAACAAATGTCATTAGCCAAGGGAAAAGCCGGGAACATAAAGCAAGGGACTTCTACATTAAATAATGCCATTACCTTAATGTCTTGTTCTTGTGCTGCAGAAATATGGTTGCTAGCAATCGCTTGCCTCTTAATCTTGCTCATCAACTTCTTGCAATTGTACACGAATCGATCAAGTTCCCATAGCGTCTCAGTGTCCAAAACCTCAATGTCAAGCTCAATCTCATCACCGTGCTGTGCCACATTGGCATTTCTTCTCCTTATGATATTCAACACCTGCTCCATCTTCTCCTGAGGGAGGCTCTCCAGGCTCTTTCCCAGCTTCTCCTTTTCCTCGAAGCTCATTTCCCGTTTGTTAGGATCTTTCGCCTTTGGCTTTGGCTGCTTCACCGTAGTCGTCCTTGCAGCCGCTGGTGGATTTGGTGGAGAATTTTGTACTGGAGCCAAATTTGGGGCTGGAACTTGAGGGGAATCAGGTCTTCTTGCACTCTCCGGCGTTGGAACCCGCGTTGAAGACCTTTGTCGCACCTCCTCATTGGTGGGGGTGGAGGCATTCATGCGTGGCTGCTCATTCTCTAATTTATTGCATGCAAGTTCAAACATCTCCTCAAAGCGAGCCAGCAGCTGTTCAGCGATGTTATAAACATCATGACCCTTCGGATTGTAAATTAGGGCATTTTTGAAGGTTAACCGAACGTCTGAGGCAAAATCTAGCGGCGTTGCATAGAGATTTTTGCCAAGTTTCGTTTTTACGGTTCCAAGATCCATTGGATGTTTGATGATCTGGTTGTAGTCATGAAGCCCCATGCCAACAACATCAACAGGGGCATTGAAGATCCAACCATGCTTGTGTTTCATTAACTTCGACAATATCTGCCCACAGCGTTTAATGGCGCCAGACATCGGCTTTCCTGTTTTAACAGCAGGTTCCAATGCCGGCCTCTTTGGATCTCTGTCAAGAGCCAGGGAGAGAGGACGCTTACTTCCTGAAACTTTCTTTTTATCATGAGGCACCTCATCCTTTGCCGAGAGGAATTCAGAGGGTCTATAATGCTGGTTCGCCTTTGGAGTTCGTTTCTCTTTTGTTCCATCTGCACCGAGTGAATCTAAGGAGTAATTTAGGTGCAGCGGCGGTGGCCTTGTTGCAGAATTGACTTCTCTACCGCCATAGCCTCCAGAAGCGCTGTAACCGGACCTGGATTGGATCTCTCTCAATTCGATCCGGTTGCTCAAGTTTCTGACCTGCTCTAACTCCAAGATCAGGCGTTGCTTGAGCTCCTTCAGCTCTCTTCTTGAACAGGCCGCAATATTGAAGGTAACATATCCACCAACCGAGGTTTCTCTACGGTTGTTGAGGTTGATCGATTTCCTTTTCAGCGAAGACGAATCATCTGTCAGAGCCGGAGCAGCAGCTACCGATTCGTCGGCCTGCCGGCCATGAATCTGGCTTAGAGGGTCATAGATCGGCTTGTTAGGGTTAGAGTTAGGGTTAGCCTTCAGGTGAGGGTTAGAATTAGGGTTTTTCCTCATATAAACCTTCCGTTCTCCCCAACACGGTTCATTTCGGCTGGCCAAGAGAGCGGACGCCATGCATGTACGGGATTATATGGGATCGGTCGGAATCCGGCACGCCTCCGAAAAGAAACTTCCGTCGGAGGTGGCTGAGAAACCATGAGAAAAGGCAGGAGTGCCGGGGAAGGGAGCGAACAAACGACGACCTTTGCCGGCAAACGAGATTTATCGCCGGAAAGCGGCCAGAGGAAGAGAAAAAAATAATTAATATAAAAAACAGAAGAAACGGTACAAAGACGAGGGTTTCGAGACCCTCAACAGAGCGAGGAACGAGAGAGCGGCACCATCGCATCTTAAAGGCAACCAGATCTGCCCGTCCTGACCTTGAGTTACTTCTCATACGTCGATCTAATAAGAACCCTGCATCTAACGGTTTATGGACTTTTACGCTGCCCGAGCTTCTGACCGTCCCATCTGTCACGGTTGGCTGGGAAACGCGTGTCAGCTAATGAAGCTTCAAAGCTGGTCGAGCAGGAATTGAATATGGTGTTTGGGTAATTGGGTTTGGCGTGAATTTGGGATGAATGACTAGCAAAGCATTTAGGTTTCTGGAATGGATGGGGTCCATCTAGGCTGACGTGGACGAAGCTCAACTGTTTTGGTAGGTCGTTCATCGTCCCTGAATTTTTCTTTTTTTATTTCATTTCTAAGCCCCGTTGGTAGCTGAATTAACTTTCTGTTATGAATATTTTCTCATATCAACGATCAGGTGGTCTTTCGTGAAAGGGGTGATCCACGTCAGATTACGAAGAATCCAACGATGAACAAGAAGGAAGTCAAGAAGCAGAGTCCTCGGCGCCCCACAACACATGGCAATCGTGTATTGGGAACATCTCCCATTAACGAGTACAGGCACGCCGAGATGTGCTAGTGGGGCGCTGATTTAATCTTTTCTTGTTCGCGGCCTAAGTTTTCCTTTTAATATGACGTGGGCCACCTTGATGATGTGGGTTCATATTATGTGTAGACATGTAGCTTACAGTGAATTTACATATGCGCCCCACAGGCGCCCCATAGAAATATCTCTCAATGATATAAACTCCCTCACAACAGTCAAACAGATACTCATATACAGACGATTACGAATGAACCAAAAGTGAAACATGCCACGCCGACCATCTCGTTTAGACATACGGATCGGGGAACTTTGACAATTCACATTTGACAATTGAGTGATTGACAGCCTTCCTATGTTGGAAGCATGACTGGGTCCCATTGCATTTTCTCGTCATAAATTTGTCCACTTGTGCGGCCCCATAGTAGGAATCTTGCGTACACGTGGCACACATCTTCAATAAGACAACAACATATATTTGTTTGACAGCTTTAGCTAGTCGCCTCATCAGAGGGCAATGAGAAGATCGGGAAAGGGGTGTGGGACCGGCCCTAGTTTTACCCGACTGACAAGGAAAGGAACGCAGGGGTATCGGGTATTCATCGAATTGATGGTTAGGTTCAGTGGACTGGATGACCATCCTTTCTTATGGGCTGGGTACTACGATGGGCTCAACACGTTGTGGGTTATGATGGGCCACTCACATCGAACTCAAAGTCGAGGCCTGGGTCATGTCTCCAGCATAGAGTCCAGCAAGAAGAAGCAGATGACCCTAGATTTACCTTCTCTTCTCTATATTCGGTGACAGTTGTATGTTGTGCAGGCTGAGGTTATTTTTCATGATGGATAATTGTGGAGGCAGGTTAAGCTAGCCCACCAAGATTAAATCGAATCAAACACATGACACACCGATAGTAGTCTATGAGTCTATGATTATTTTATTTTAATCCCGTCGCGTATCTTAATCTTAAAAATAAAAGGCTTTTTTATACTTGGAAGATTTTGGGAATTTCAATGAATTTTAATAATTTTTATTTCAAAATTTTGGATGGCCAAAAGTTTTTCCCCACTATTTTATGGCAGCCCTTGTTTCGAAACTGAAATTTCACAATAATCTATTAGCATATTTGAAACCCACTAGATGAATGACACGTGCAAAGATGAAGGATGAGGGTGGCCTGGGTAATTAGGAGAAGGACATGAACAAGGCTGTCTTCGCGAAATAATTTTGGAGACCGGCATTTTGGGCTTTGGTTATTAAGGCTCCATATTTTCTTAACCAAAGTCTTTTTAGTGCTCAGGTAAAAGTAGTGGTGCATCTGAATGGTGAAGATTAGAGGGGTAATAAGGCAAGATTTGTAATGACAAGTGGCAACATGTAAAGAGGTATATGTTTCTAACAATTACAGGCAACGCTCCAAAAGGGAAAGAAGGCGTTAGAGAACAATACAAGAACCTTAATTAAAGTTAGTTAGCTGGTGATGGATGATCATGGCCATTGGAAATTGCAAATACTGAATGACTCTTTTTGACAACCAGGAATTGAGGGCTGTACAAGGAGTAATACCAAGCCAAGTAGAAGTAGAAAACCATCGTATAAATCCTTCTATATGATTCATGCACAATGAACATCAAAAAGAATTCGATGGTCAAATTTATGGAAAATAGCTACTCCATTCTGATCTCAATCATTCCTGTGGGGGTTTATGTCGAGGGCATTCCTACGAAGGACAAACTTAGTAGGAGAAAAGAGGAATTGAAGAGGTTTGTCCAGTGTGTCTTCAAGAGAAGGAACCCATTATGTGCCTAATTTTCATGTGCACTTAGGGTCGAGCAATCTAGTTTCATGCCAAGCTAAGTTAGGCACCATTTCAAATCAAGTGGGTTCTTATACTGCTTCACTTGTTCTGGAAAGTTGGTTTATTGCACTTGATGCAAATAGAGCATGGAAAACAATTCCGTTAACAAGAGTAACACGTTACTGTATATGGAGTTAATCTGGGAAATAAGGAATGAGGTTGTCTTTTCACACAAGAAACCAGGCCCTTAGAAGTTTATTCACGAAGCAAGTGATGGGGGCCCATCTCACCCCTAGGGGCGGCAGCTCCTAGGATAAGGTCAAGAGTCCAAGATAAGTCAACAAAGGATAATTCAAGATCCATTAAGGCTTAATCCATCCAAGACTCCAAGACTTATCAAGAATTCAAGATTATCAAAACTCTTCCAAGATTATCAAGAAATCAATATCAGAATTCCAACAAGACTCTAAGAAGCATCAAGATTAGCAAGATAATCCAAGATTCATGCACCAAGGGAGATCGGACGGTGGAAACTCAAACCAAGAAGAGTTCAATCCTATTAGATTAGATATTTGGATCTATCCTATTTGTTATTTCCTACTTCTTTTACAATTTCTAAATGTATTATAAATACTGCTATTCCCCCAGAATTATTCATCAATTCATACTCCATAATTTCAGAGCTTCTTCAAGTTCTCTTCTTCCAATTTTCGCCACCTTTTCTCTCTCCTAGAGAATTCAGTGTTCTTCGTTAGAAGCTAGCGATCGCCTGGTACTTGCATAGCCAGCCCGATTTTTCATTGTTTCCACGCTGCATCAGCAAGGCTGTGACTCATTGCTTTGGGAATTCACATCTGCGTGTCACAGAGGGCGCCCCACAGCATATCCCAACCATATATTGAAAACATTTCTCATTAACAACTTCAAAAGATGTTTGCAATGCACGCTGAGATGTGCATATGGAGCATTTGTGGAGGAGCAATTATTATTTCTTTTACATCCTAACAATCAATTAGAAGTGAGTGACCTGCATCCAACCTTTGTTCATGGAGAATTGCATAATGCTTATCAAGTTTTTGTTGATGCTGCCTTTTTAATTTAAGGTAGGCATAAACACTATTACGGGATGTGTTATTCTCTCACCATCAAATATCTTTTTGACAGCAGTGGCCAGTGGGGAGGTTAACCTATGCCATCAATGTTGAACATGCAGAATGGTGGGCTCTTCCCCAAGCAATGGGTTGGGCTGAATGGTCTATCAAGGAGGAAATAACTGCTACAATACATAGATTAATTTACTACATGTAAGGTGTCTCATATAATTGGAGTAGCTAATGTGTAATGGTTTCATAAAGTAGCCAAAGTAACTTACTTTCACTAGGTTGAGAGGTTTCTTTTGGACTAGAAGGGATGATGACCTTTGTATTTATCTTTTGAAGCAATAAAATTTTCTGTCTTGAAAAAAAAAGAAAATAAATTCAATACGCCCGAGATTGCATATCGTATTGGCAAACCCCAGGTACTCTAAATAAAGGGCTTTTGGGGTTTTGACCGCTCACTAGGTAGTCAGGGTTAAGACCAATCCCTTGACCAATTTTTTTTTAAAAAAAAAAAAAAATTAAAAAGAAAAGAACAAGTTGTGTGGCATCAAAACACCTGATACACAGGCTTATGCATATCAGATGTATGAATACTTTGAAGCTTGGTGATGTATATAAGTCCATTTATGGTGCATTTACTAATATTTGTTGCATATAAAATTCAGATTTCAATCAATCACATTAAAGATATTATATGTTTTACTGATTCATATTTTATAAAGTATACTTACCATCAAAACTTTAATAATATTAAAGATATCAGTTAATATTTTAAAAAGAATTCTCGTAGGCAATTTCATTCAACATTCTCAGTAAGCAAGTCTGATACAAACTGAAGTCCTTCATAGAATGCCATAGCCTCTACCACTATAGCTTCACACCGAGCCACTAACCACACTCTATAACAAACCATCCCGCCAGGTCATTGATTGATTGTCAATGTAAGTTGTGTTTGGTGTTATTTTCATTTTTATTTGGAATGTTTTAGGTTGGTCAATACAAATTTTATGAGAATATATTTTTTCTACAAAAAATGTTTTGAATTATCAATACAACATTTGGTATTATTTTTGTTTCTTCAGAAAACGTCAAATTTAATGCTTTTATTATAAATGCCAACACTTAATCCAATGCCAAATTGCCATTATTTCTTTTTTAGTGAAAGTAGTTATATGATATAATGCCACAAGACAATTTCTCAAAAAATTGTATTGACAAAATTAAAAGGTTGCAAGTAAAAGTGGCAATGGTATCAAATGCAACCATAATTAGCAACTTTCCCAATGAAAACGAAGGTATCAAATACTTGGTTCAAAAATATGCACCACATCAAAATTTCAAATAGAAATAAGCCTTTCAACGGTGCAACCAAACACACTCAATGAGTGATGCCTCCTCACTATGTGCAGTGCAATTATAACTATTCACTGGTTAATGATCACATCCTCAATAGAACAACTATTTGTATATTTTGTTTAGAACCCACTATCTAAGTATCTACATAACAAGTCTTACAACCGACTAGGGAAATTTTGGTGAATCCTTGGGATTGGGCATTTTACTTGACCTAAAAAACTAAAACTAAATTTGATTGGTGAAACAACACCTTTTAAGAAATTGTTTTTGATTGGATCCATATTTAGCCCATCCCCCGGTCCCCCCAAACATTTAATTCCCACCAATCTGCAGTGTGGACAGAACAAACGGAAACCATGGATGACATGAATGTCATGGTTCGTGCACATCTTTGAATCTGAACTAACTAGTAGGCTGACTGGCATGGTTAATTACCCATCCCTTGATAGCCAAATAGATTTGTCTGCAAGGGTGCTAGGGTTTGAAACTTGAGAGGAATATGGCCTAAATCCCTTTATCTCATCAACACTCACTAGATCATCTCCGTACAAAACTAGCAAGGCAGGGAAAAGGGAGGACACAAGCAATGGAAAGGGGTGTATAGTGCCGAGATTTCACAATAAGCTATATACTAGCGGAGTAACCCGTGCTGAGCACGGGAATGACACTGCTGCTTGAAATAAAATTCTGCAATTGGTGGAAGACATTGCTAGATTTCTTACTAAACAAAATGTAGATAGCCAGATACAATTATACAATTGTTAGGGAAAAATGAAGCTCACTCCCCTTATCTTTGTAAAACTCAAGCTACTGCAGAATGGATGAATTGGAAAGGTTTGGTTGTCAGGTAAATGCGTAGCTGGCCAAATCCCCACACTGTCATTGTTAAATGAAGACGAAAAATATTTCATACCTTCACACGTGACTGGGACGGAAAATGAAAGAGGACAAAAATATTTCGTCTTAACAAAGCCCCTTCCTGCCTTAGTATATATATATATATATATATATATATATATATATATATATANTATATATATATATATATATATATATATATATATATATATATAATAGATTATATTCCCAGTTAAAGGGTCTTAGCTACAATTGCTCAACGGCAATGCCTCTCAATCAATAAAATTGAAATGAGCATCTAAAGGAATGAAAAACAACAAGAGGTAAACTGAAACATTGACAGTGCAAGGAGATTCTGATTGTTCATCTCCTATACCAATTCACATCTGCACCCTATATGCACTTCTCAATTCTCAATGTGTATTGGCTTGTCATTGGAGGATGTTCCCAATACACGATTGGGATGTGTTGCGGGGCACCCATGGGACATGCTCTGTGGGGCACCAATGTGATCTCTTCTTATAGTACCAAGTACTTGATGTGCAATAGGCACGTTGACTGTGGCAGTGGCAGACTGGGAAGCAAAGGTGTGAACCCATCTGCATGTGGGGACAACAGATATATACCTTGCTTCTAAAAGCTTAATTAATGACTCAACAACCACCTTGGCTTTGCTTAGCCTATGCCTCTCCTTGCGGAAATGGAGAGATTCCCCTGCTGCTTTCTGTTGTTTTCGTGGAAGGAGTATAGAAAAGAGAGAGTACTCTCTTTCTCAAGACAAGAAGACGGGTCTAAAAGAAGAAATAGTAGTAGGTTGGACCCGATGCTTTCAAGCTCTTCTCACTATAAGCTCTTTTAGGCTATGTTTGGTTTGAAGGAAAATGCAGGAAAATCTTTACAATCCTTTTATAGGTTCCCGTCTGTCTCTTCCTTTCTCTACCTTTTCCTTCAAACCAAACATAGCCTTAATTTCAAGGTCACTGATAGTTCCTGTATTCCTCTTCGGATCCAAGTTGGACTATGATGCCATGCATGTACCCTACATAGTTTGGAGGACTCTTTTGTTTTGAATGAAAAATTAAATGGCTTTGGTAAACACGAATTCAATTAATAAAAGAGGGAGAAGAATCCCCAGTCAAATTACAGCAAATAGCCCAGTTATTACAAAAAGAAAATTGATGATTTGGAAAAGAAAACCAAACCCCATTACTACATTCTCTACTCGCCAAAAAGTGAGCATAATATACAGCTTTCGTTTCTTTTCTTCATGTTTTACAATCTTATTTATGCTACTGGAGCTGAGCTTTAGATCTTAAGGATTTAGGGCCTTCCTCCAAATGTTTAACGCGGTCCTAGTGGATTGATCCTGCTTGTAGATAGGATTGATAAATTTGCTTCTGAATTTCCATATTTTGAATTCGGTGAGAGATTTTCTATACATAATCTCTCTTCATCCAGTCACATTTTTCCTCTTCTGTTGTAGCTATTCGAAGCGGAAGTTTAGCTTTCAATACTCTTCTCAGATCAAATCATTCTGGCTAATTTTCTGATTGTGAAAGTTAAACTTGTTTTTATAACTAATATAGCCTAGCCTTTGTGCTTCAAACCATGATTTAACCCAATAGGGATCTGCTATGAATACAATTGTGCAAACACAATCATGAATAAACAAGCATCCAATCTGGATTTAGTGCAAACCTGACACACCCTCTTCACTATACTTATGGCCCTCATTTGAATCATCTTCATAATACAGTCCACTTATCCTTATATTTTTTTCATTGATGGGGAGATGCTCCCAATGTTCGGATGCAAATTAATATTGTGAGTATGGTGTGAGGACAAATTTGGATTAACTAACCATGCGAATGGAACACTGGCATATTCACTTGTGATTGGTTATTTAACTAGTGTCTTTGTATCACTTTATGTGCAAATGAATACGTCAGTGTTCTATACACATGAAACCCACATATAAAATACTAGGGAAGATTCCTAATCAGTAACCCTATACTTTGGTTCGAGTGACAATTTGGTCCCCAAACTTTAAAATGCGATAATTCAGTACTCGAACTTTCAAAATGTGACAATCCAATACCTGCTGTTAACCAATCCATTAATCAACTGTTAGTGACATTTGAAAAGTAAAAAATGCCCTAAGAATGCCATCTAATTCTCTTTATCAACCATCCAAACATTGATAATAAAATGAACAGTCCAAAATTCTAGATTCTTCTAAATAGCCATCATTTTTTTTGAATAGAAGAGGTTAGGATTTGGGACTGTTCAATTTTTTGTCAATGTTTGGATGGTTGATAAAAAGAATTAGATGAAATTCGAAGGGCATTTTTGATTTTTCAAATATCACTTAACAGCTGATTAACGGATTGGTTAACAATAGGTATTGGATTGTCACATTTTGAAAGTTTGAACACTGGATTGTCGCATTTTAAAGTTTGGAGACCAAACTGCCACTAGAGCCAAAGTACAAGATACTGATCAGATATTTTTGAAAATACTAATGTGTTCATTCATGGTTCATGATTGATTACAATTTCTCCCCTAGGTGGGAAAGTTAATTGTTTAGCCACCTATGAGATGAGCCATAGGTATCACTTATCCGTCTAAATGATGCCCACAGAAATAAATTTTTCACAAAATCCCATTGATCAACTTCCAACTCTCGAAACCTAAAAACCCAATCGACCCTAATTTCATTTTTATAAAATCAAGACTATTGGCCGATGACAATTTAATTAGATGAACAGACGGAAGTGATTAGAGGTCATCAACTAAACATGCATCATCTATTGATCCCGCCTACACCTGGGTTGGGGGATGGGCTACCCAGTTGTTTAGCCCTTCAAAAGATTTTTATCAGCCCTATTAATTGATCCGATGAGCTCACATTATATGGAATCACTTTTAGTTTTTTTTAGTAAGTATTTATATTTGTCAGTTTGAAATTACTGCTAATGTTTGCTACAATAAGCGTAGTATTGCACTATTGATTAATTTCGATACTGCAAAGTAGAAACCGGAAACCGGTAATGATCATAATAGGAGAACTCTCTCTCTCTCTCTCTCTCGCTCGCAGAGTAAATATATTAATATTATGAACCACAAAACTGAGAGTTAGTGAGCAGCTTGGTTACAGTCCCTATAGGCAAATTAAATAACAGTAGTGTGTGGATGGAAGATAGAAGAGAACAAAAGCGGATGAACGTCGCTGTCTTTGTTTCGTGAAAATGAAGTAACAATCAGAAAACATTTTCCACGTTAGTTTTTCCTGCCTTGGAGAGTAGACCCCTGGAACCAATTAACTCAAGTCTCACTACCATCCAAGCAATCTTCTTCTCCATGATCAATATCCATCCACAAACTCAGACCCCGAAAGAGAGGGCCACTTTTAGGTTTTAATTGCGGAAAAAAGAAAAAAAAAAAAAAAAAAAACAAAGCCTGGGACCAAGTCACAGTTGGGAAAGTAATAATGTAATATATCTAATTCATCAAGTATCTGTTAACACAACCACATTTCCAACGTTAGAGAGTAGAGACAGACAAGGGAGACAGGAAGGATCAGCTAACGAAGATGATAGAGGGATCGCAGCAACACTCGTCGAGAAGACAGCAGCAACATAAGGCAGCAAGACTGCAAAATAATTGTAGTACTCCAAGTTAAGAATCAGAGATGGGATTCGAAAAATAGAAACAGAACAAATAGCAATGAGCCACCTTCAAAGAATTGAATAAATGGGGAAAAGGAAAGTATAGATGGAATAGTAACTTTACCATCCTTCAAGGAAACCTGGTTCTCTCCTGGGTGGAGGAGCAGCATATTGTGGAGGTGCCATTACAGGGGGGCCTTGATAATAGCCTGACAGAAAGGATTTCAGAAGAACATTAATAAATTTTCAACTTCTTCAGTGTTAATTCTAGACATTCCCAATAAAAAAATAATAAAAGATGGAGAAGGCTATTAGTTGTTTCTTTGGGGCAAATAAAATGGGGAGAAGACCCTGAAGAAGGTTTAAAAAAGAAGCAGAAAACCCCATCAGCCAAATCACAAGTAGGCAGCAAAATGACCACAAAAAAAGAGAAGGGTGCAGATTAAATCATGGAAAAAAGGGAAAACCGTGCAAGAAATACTGAATCATAAAAAGGGTATTGATCCCTGTTCTACCTGTAATCCCAAAATGGGTAGGTTGAGAGATATTAAGGGAGTGAAATAAGTTTTATTTTGCTATGGATCAACCATTTCTGAGGAAAATATATTCGATATGAGAAAATAAAACAAAATGAAGAAAACAAGAAGGGATGGAAATCAGATTAATTACCTTGAGCAGGGTATGGATAAGCATACTTGGGGTCACTCATCTCCGGCAGACGAAATGGCGGAAGGAACTTATTGATGAATGAAGATGATGACGCTGCAGCCAAAGAAACAGAGCAATAGACAGGAGTAGTTCTCTCGTCCAGAAGGAATTCCTCCGGTTTTATAGATGGAGAAGAAGATTCGATGAACCGACCATGAAAAAGTTGAGCACTTTGCACGTAAGAAAGGTAAGCTAAGAAGAGCTGACGATAAGGTGGGTTAGTTGGTTGTTGTTGCGTTATGTAGAAGTCATCCGCGTAGGCGCGTAACAGCATTAACAGCGAACAAAGTTCTGTTTCTCTTAACTTCTTTTTTCTCTCTTTCTCCTGTCTTTTATTTAACCAGTTAATGGGTGTGTCGAGATGGTGTTAGAAACTTCACTGGGGGCCGAGCTCGCTCTCTCTCTCTCTCTTATTTTTAACAAATAGACTATTCTTTCACAACTGAGCTCCACCAGCATATGCCCCTTCTTGTTTCTTACCTTTTGCAGGCCAGATTTAAATCTAAGCGTATTTCTCTGGTTTTGCTTTGCCTTTGGTCAATAAAAGAACGAGTGAGGAAGGAATATATGCTTGGTTGAAAATTATTTGTTGAGATGTTACCTTCCCCTGTTCTAATATATATAGAGATAGATGTAGATGATTTTCTTATTTTTCTATATCCCACCAGATGATTACGTTCAATCTTATTCTTAAAAGTTGAAACTTTCTGAATATAATAATAACTAAAAAAATCATCTGAGGAAGATCATTTCAGAAGTTTTCCATGTAAACCCAAATAGGAATATTAGACTCCTGATGGCTCTTCCTTCTCACTTGGGAATTTGACTTGGCATATTATCCAGTTGTTCATTTGGTGAGGAATTTTCTAGATTGGTCATGTCTTTCGGTCTTTGTGTTGGGTAAAGGTCTAAACCATGGTTTTCAAAATTGGAACGGGAAGAACTAGGAACCGGTCAGGCTGCTTTTTATTTTTTTATTTTTTTATTAAAATAGGTCATCTATTCGATTCGAACAGTCGAACTATTCGACTCAAGAACCGAACCCCTAACCGATTCGTTGTCTAAATTAGGGTTGTTCATGGGTCGGGTTGAGTCGGTTTACTGTGATTTTTCTAACCGACCCAACCTGGTCGGGTTACTTGACATAGAAACCGAAACCGACCCAGTGTTAAGCAAAACCAACCTGGTCGGTTTGAGTCGGGTTGGGTCGGTTTCGGTTCTAAGTTCATCCCTATGATCTTGCTAATTTTAAAAACAGTCATAAATTGAACATCATTTCAACCATCTCCTATGATAAAATTTAAATGAAAAGTTAATCACAAAAGTTGTTCATTAATCACTGTTCACTAATCCCAAGTTTCTTGCAACCATTCAAAAACTAGGTGGCCTAATGGGCTTTGGAACTTCATGTTTGAATTAAGAACTAAGTCAGTTCGGTTTGGGTCGGTTTCGGTTTTCTTGTGTGAAAACCGAAATCGACCTGAATCATTGGTTTAAGAATTTACACAACCCAAAACCAACCTGTACTTATGAAAACCCAACCGATTTGGGTTAAATCGGTCCGAATTAGTCGGTTTGATCGGATTGAGCCTTCTTATGAACAGCCCTAGTCCAAATCGATTTTAAAAACCTTAGTCTAAAGTGAGATATCTGATTTGGAGAATTTCAATTAAATCAGCCTCGGTTCTCGTCTATTCAAAATTTACCCAAACCCATCAATGTTTACTACCTTTCGAGTCTTGAGTGCTTGCTCCACAAGGAGTGCCATCCTAATTCCTAAATGATGTATACATAATGTACGTATTTGAGTACACATCATGAATTCTGTCTTTTAGTTCTCTTCATCTAAACATGCTTTTACAGAAAACAGCTCTATTCTTCCTTTTTCTTACTTTGCCTACTTTTCGTTTCTCCTTTATTTGGAACCTTGCTTTCCTTTTCTTTTTTCCTTTTATATTTAATTTTTTTATTAACAAGAAGTTTCATATCTGTCCTTACTGTTCACATTTAGGGTTTCTTTGATAACTGATGATTTGCCTATGGGCGATCTTTAATCAGTCATATGAAATACTTTGGGATAATTAAAGTAATTAATTGGACTGTCATGTAATTAGTAACTAAGGGCTCCCCAGACTTAAAGTGCTAATTCACTGCCAACTGAGGGGTACGGGTAAGTTAGCTGGTTTGTCCCAATGGAGATGCGGATTCCAATCCTGCAGCTGCAACCACCGACTTTGGGGAGGGGGGACTTCAGTTTTCAAAACGGCCCTTATGGGGGATTCAGGTGTATTACCCCAAAAAAATAGAACTTAATAAGACTCAGGTTGGAAGGAGTATAAATCAAAGTTCAAAATATTGTCATGTATTAATCTGTATCAGTCCATATGTATGGTATCGGAACTTTCTTAATATGCCCCTACAGAGAGTATTTTGGGTCAACGAGTGGTTCAGGGGATAGACTAGCCTTAAACCAACCCCTCTGAATTAGATTCAGAAAAATAACAAAAAACAGCATCGATAAAGGATGATACGCCCTGCTGGCATATCACCCTATATCAATATTTTGAACCTTGGTACAAATACAAATTTATAGAGTGCAAAACCTTGTATTTTGTACGTATTTGTACAGTATATATTTGTATTTATACTTCAAAACTGAGCATAAAAGACCAACTGATAAATATATTTATTTAGCAACCATACGTGACAATGAAGATGGATAGGATGGAGATCTACGGGAAAGCGATTCATATTGCTGAAAATCCTCAGTTTAGAAGCTAATAATCTTGTTTCATAAAAGCATCTTCTAAATCAAGAAATGAACTACTACTTCAATACTATGAACTAGAAAATGATTCTGCTTGTTACTAATTAACATACAAAACCTTCTGATCAGAAGCAGTTTAGATGTCTTAGACAAGAGGCTGCCCATTATCATCATATCTACTCATTCTTTGTACTAAGGTTCTCTCTCACATCCTCTCTTTGAAGCTGCATACAAGAGAACTACATGGCAATAAATTTGGCACAAGTGGGCTTAGACTAAATCAATTTCTATTAATTTGTTGATGGTGTCCTCCTCATCTTTGGAAAGTTCTAGATTAATTACCAGAAGTCAGCTATCCACTTTAGCGGTAATACTCACAGTGGTCACCCATGGATTCCAGGGATCATAAAATATGGTTTTGAAGCCAATGCTAATAGCAAAAGTTACAAAGTAGCAGCCTTCATTAACCATGATTAATTCTATATGGAGTGGGAAAGGAAAGCTCTATCAACAACCTTGTCAAATTCACAAGTAAAATCTTATATATCCTTGGTATCAGATTTCCTTTAATTTTTCGTGTCCAGGCATATGTTGAATCAGTTCTATATATAGAACTTGCAGTGACCAGAGACTAGAAACTCCAACAAATCAGAGTATGGAACTATCTTCTCATCCACTTATCTCAGTCAATTCAGTCCGGTGTAGCAGAAATTCAACAGCCCACTATATTGCTAGGAAAGCCCTTCATCTCTCTCAACCATGTACTTGGTCTATTTGGTTGCATTGCAAATTTATTTGCACTGATGCAAAATTAAGATAGTGCAAATGATTTCGATAAAAATAAAATTTTGATTTATTTTTGTTTTAAAATTTACCTTACAAATGAATTAAGATAAGATCTGAAACGGAATGAAACGAAACCCGAAACAAAATTACATCAGAATTTGCATTCTTTTCATTTGCACGCTTATACATTTCTACTAATGCAAATAAATTTGCACTGCAATCAAACCCAGCCTAAAAAACATTGTAACATTTGATATTTAATTACCCACTGAAATAATGAATATGTGCATTTAACACTTGAAAAAAAAGGCTCCACTCCAATACATGTGTAAATGCTTCATCATTTGTGATAAAGCTGAATGGTTAACCAATTCAAGTAAATGATATCTGAAACCATCGCATTTTAATATTGTTATTAAGATAGGACCACAGGTTTACAAAGGGATTTTCTTTTGTTAATTTCCTTTATCATCATATCATCATCACCGAAGCCTTGTTCCAATGGGATTGATTAAATGAATCCTGTTTCATCATTCCCTTCTTTTCATTGCCATCTTAAACACAAAATTGAAGATTTCTTTTAGAATGGCATCGGGAGTTCTTCATCCTTTTGCCAAACTCTCATGAACATGAACATGTATCTTTCTTTTATTAATTATTTTGATTGATGCTATCGACATATGAAAAGAAAAGTCAGATAAAACACAAAATGGTCACGAGGTTGTTATGAAGCACGTAATGTAGGTTGCAGACTGTAGCTACTTGGAAGTGTTGTTATTGGAGTGGTTGAAGAAATTGAAAGAGATCATCACCCGTGCTATCCATACTTACTTTTACTTTATTACATGTGTTTGTTTGGGTGAGCGTCATTCTTACCAATGGAAAGAAGCAAATAAGGAAACGAAATCCTGATGAAACGAAGACCGAAGACAAGGTGGCCAATCAACGTAAGGTTAATGACTTCATTTGAAATTATGTACCAATATTGCATTTGGTGCAGGAAGCCAGCAACCACTTCACTTAAAATAAAAAAAAGTGATGTATATTACAAAAGGGCAAATTCCTTAAACCTCTCTCCTTGATGTTTCTGACTGTTGCTGAAACCTCGCCTAAAATTTGTTAATTATAATCACTTTCTTCTAATTTTTTTTGACAAAGTTGTTAGTAGATCCCTTTGTTACAATCCTCTAAAAGAGGCATAAAAATGTCTAAAATACTCATGACTAAATTTTGTTTTTCAAATTCTCTCTTCATATTAATAACTAGCTCAAATCCTTCCAATCTTTTTTTTAAAATTAATTTATTTTCTCTAATTTGTCTTACATATCAATGGCTCAAAGGTAGAGATGCAACTTTAAAAATTCTATTTTTTTTGTTGTTTATAATGTTTGTATTTTTTTTTTTTTGTAGAAACCAGCCTAATAGTAATTTTATGGGTATTTTGGACATTTTGTGCCTCTTGTTAAAGGATTCTAACAGAAGGGGTCTCCTTGCAACTATATCAGAACATTCAGGGGAGGTAATTCCAATTCCCAAACTTCAGGGAATATTTCAGCAACAATCAGAAACTTCAATGGAGTTTTCAGCAATTTACCCTTTAGAAAATGATGACTTCATATTATTTAAACTTATTGGGGAGTTATTGCTTCAGTTGGCTGATTATTTCATTTTTCCTTGTCAAAGCCTTTTTCCTTCATTTCTAACATATATATTAATCTATATTTATATCTATACTCTTAAT